ATATTCAGAGACTAACAATATGTCAACACAACGACAGAGAGCAAGAATTTAAATATCAATTTACGCATGTAGAGAAAATTATAGACAATATAGAGGGTATAATCCTTACATCAAGAAGTACAAAAATGTGTCATTGAGCATGTTTTTTTTTTTGAAAGAGAATAAGCTTTTGAATAAGATTAATAAAGACGTCTTTGCTGCTTCAGGACAGTTACATGCTGGACCAATGCCTCCTATTAGACTGTCAAAAGATCCCTGTCGTAAATGTGGAGTTACGATTCCGTAAATGGCTATGAAGGTATATGCCTGCATTGTAATTAATCGATGTTTCATTTAGAAACCCCGGGCTTATGCTGTGCTGGCAAGATGAAATTAACTCTTTTGTCAAATCCTCTTCGTACATTGCATTCGTATCTCCATGGTAATACAATCCAAGCAAAACATTTTCTGCAGAATAAACAAAAATATAACGGACGCTATCAGAGGTTCTTATTTGGAACAGACACATTTTGTAAAGAGCTTTGGTGTTTACATTATTGCATCGTGACACTTCTTTTCAATTTTTCTGTGGCAATTATCCATTGACAATTTATTTTACTTTTAGATACATAGATAATTTTTAAAGTTTTGCAGTAGTACTATGGATCTCGAGATTTCTGTGTTTCGTCCCCACAGTTTTAGATTCTTTTAATAACCAAATGAGTAAAATAAAAAAAAAAAAATATTTTGGAAAAAAAATTGTTTGTAATTTTTTAGAAGTTTTTATATTTGCCCATATATACTTCTACAAATATAAAAAAGTATATATACCAAGTTAATGACAGATATCTGCTTTCAGATCCAACCACCAACGGGAAAAACTCACAAATAAGTTATTTAATTATGAGGTCTGTTGAATAAATTTGAATTTTTAACGGTTATTATTTCGGGGTGAAATTTTCTTAATAGTTTTTTGGCTGTCCAAAAGTCCTTTAGTTCACTGGATCCATAATAACAATAGCATCATTTAAAGTACAGTACATAAAATATTAGTCTTTTTACAAAAGTGACAACAGATCTAACCTTTCGCCTCGGATCAGCAATAAATAGTAAAAAAACAACAAGAAATCACGAAAAAAATACCTGTATTATGGCAAGACTTCATTTATCACAAACAAAAGAATAAATAGAAACGCAACAAAAAGTATTCACCGCATCAACATCCTAATTTTTTTTTAACGGAGCGTTTGATTACGATTTTACATATCATTAGAAATGCTAGAAGATTGCCACTTTCAGCGTTTATATTCCACCAAAACACTATTGGAAAAGTTACCTAATGTCGGGACAGTTAGCCGACAGTTAATAACTAAAATTATTTATGTAAATAATAGTAGTAATAAGTTAAAAAATAGATAAACAAAACTATTGCGTTTCTTGAATTAAAAATAACGAGTGTAGTAAAAAGATGGTAATAATGAAATAAAGAGTAGCACAAGACGAATTTTATTAAATTCGTTTTTTGACATATGGACTCATCGTGGCCAACTCCAACATTTCCAAGGTGTCTCAACAAAATATATGTCGAACCATGTTTTTGACATAAATTAAAGTTGAATTAATAATTGGGAGATTATTTATTGCGGTGGTATCATAATTTTCTTTGATATCAATTTGGTCTTTGACTCCAAATTTTAATTGCTACTTTTATCTCCAATGGAATTTTACTCTTAAGCGACATCTAATGTGTGTCCATCACACCTATATAATCCCTTCACATTTTATTTATTAAAGTATGTAACTGTTAGCGAATTTATCAGGTTCTAGGAATGGTAGAAAAATGATCGGTTTAAGTCAGACCAAGGTTTCTTTGAACGAATTTTGCTTTGTAATATAAAACAGCTTTACCATCAAAAATATAATTATATGAGTTACAGAATTTGTATTGCGATACAACGGGATTTTTATGGGTTTAGTCACATTATTTCACGGACTTGTCTAAAAAAAGGTATTTGTTGTTCGTGTTGTCCGAAGCTAGAACCCAAGCTTCGGTGGCGGAACATTGTACATACAGGTCGACGTTTTCCTCACGATATTCGGTATTTTAATGATTTTTGCCACATTTTCCACGGATTCGTCTAAAAATTGGTATTTGTAGTTCTTAATAGGTTCTCGTTCTTGTGGCAAACATTGAATATCTAGGTCCATGTTTTCCTACAGCGAACATATTACGGTCCCCACAGATATTTGGTATTTTGACAATCCTAGTCACATTTACCCACGAAATTGTTTCAAATTTGGTATTTAAGACTCGCAATAGATAACAATGTTTGCAGTATAAAATTGTCTATCAAGGTTCACGTTTTGGTATGACCTTCACATAACGGATCCACCTACATTATTCTTTTTTGAAAAGTTTAACTACATTATCCAAACGATCTTACTGCTGTATGTAGTTTAAAGTGAAAAACGTTAAATCTATATAATTTTATGTAAAAAATATCGGAAACTAACAGAAATTTATATTTAACCCTTCTTATTGCAGTTCCTGATTCGTGCTCACAAATAAACTGTAAACGTAATCTATATATATAAAAATCAATTGTTGTTTGTTGGTAATGGAATCAGTAAAAAACGGCTGGACAGACTTGAATAATTTTTTGTACAAACGTTCGTCATACCCCGAGATAGGTTTTTAAAGAAAAAAATATTGACCACGGCTCCTTTTACGCCCACTATTTCGATTTATTTAAAATCCTTATATTTCGCAAATAATGAAGACATTGGTTTAAAAATTATTACACGAGATACTGTTGACTTTCCCTCCAATCCTAAGTATTTGTTTGGGGGCTGCGGAACTGACCACGCCTACTTTTTAATCTATCTATATATACAAAAGAAAGTTGGGTTAGTTACTACGCTTATAACTCAAGAACCGCCGGTCTGATTTTAACGACCCAGACGAATTCGGTGTTGTCTCTTGGCAGAAAAGGATAAAATCCAAACAAATCGCGGAAAAATGTGAAATTTAAACTTTTTCATTTTGACTTTCAAAATGTACAATAGTAATGTTTTATATTGCATGATTTTTTTATACCCTCCACCATACTATGGAGGGTATATTAACTTTGTCATTCCGTTTGTAACTCCTCGAAATACTCATATCAGACCCAACAAAGTATATATATTCTTGATCAGCGTAAAATTCTAAGTCGATTTAGCGATGTCCGTCTGTCTGTCTGTCCGTCTGTCTGTCTGTCTGTTGTAATCACTCTATCTTTCGAATGAATTGAGATAGGTGGCTAAAATTTTGCACACATGTTTATTTTTCCAGTAGGCAGGTTAGGTTCGTAAATGGGCCATGTAGGTCCACGTTTTCATATAGCCCCCATATAACGGTACCTCCCTATATTCGGTATTTTGATGATTTTAGCGAAATTATTCACGGGAATTGTTTCAAATTTGGTATTTGAAGTTCAAAATGGATACTACACCCTAAGACGGAAAATTATCCGTGCAGGTCCACGTCTTCGTATAGCCCCCATATAACGGTACCTCCCGATATTCGGTATTTTGACGATTTTAGCGACATTATTCACGGGAATTGTTTCAAATTTGGTATTTGAAGTTCAAAATGGATACTACACCCTAAGACAGAAAATTGTCTGTGCAGGTCCACGTCTTCATATAGCCCCCATATAACGGTACCTCCCTATATTCGGTATTTTGATGATTTTAGCGACATTATTCACCGTTTATTTCAAGTTTCGAATTTGAATATGGTAATGGCTTATGACAAACAATGACTATGTATGTCCACGTCGTATAGACCCCAAAATAACGGCTATATTCGGTATTTTTAAAATTTTAACAGAATTTTTTAAGGATTTTATTTTTGGAAAATTTCCAAATTCGTTGCAATTGGTGGAGGGTATTAAAAGTTCGGCCCGGCCGAACTTACTGCTTTTTAACTTGTTTTATTTTGATTTACTATTTTCAAATGTACATTTGTAGTGTTTTTTTTTTTTTCTTTTCGATTTTTTTGAAAATTAATATGATGTGTAGTCTTTTTACGGTAGAATAAAGCGACAACGGACAACAATGCTATTTATAAATTTAAGTATTCGGAAGGGTATACAAAATAAAGAATTATTTCCACCATATAAAAGAAAGTAGTGTTAATTTCTACGCTTAAAACGCAAGAACTGCTTGACGGACTTTAACATTTCATATAATTTCGGAATGGTATCTTGCCAAAAAAAAATAATAATACAAATAATAATAATAATAATAACAACAATAATAATAATAATAATAATAATAATAAAAATAATAATAATAATAATAATAACAATAATAATAATAATAATAATAATAATAATAATAATAATAATAATAATAATAATAATAATAATAATAATAATAATAATAATAATAATAATAATGATAATAGTAATAATAATAATAATGATAATAATAATAATAATAGTAATAATAATAATAATAATAATAATAATAATAATAATAATAATAATAATAATAATAATAATAATAATAATAATAATAATAATAATAATAATAATAATAATAATAACAATAATAATAATAATAATAATAATAATAATAATAATAATAATAATAATAATAATAATAATAATAATAATAATAATAATAATAATAATAATAATAATAATAATAATAATAATAATAATGATAAACTTAACGAGGTCGGAAGGACCTCGCCCAAAAAAATGTTCCTGCCGCACCAACACCGGCAGGATTTAAATGATTACACTCGTTTGATTTAATATCCAAATACAATCGATTTATTGACTGTTCCTTTTCAATGTGAATTGAAGACTAATTAAATTACATTCTACTTATTCTAAGGTAAGCGACAGCGCGCCAGCAGTCCCCCGTAGTTCCCACGATGGCCTCTGCTTAGTCGGCAGGTATGCAATGGTAATTGGGGTGGTGTCAATGACAATGAGGCGCGTGTGCATGGTCAGCCAAAAGTACACGCGCAACCAAAAGTACACGCGCAGCCAAAGAATAGTTGGGCGATTGCACAAATGCAGCGCGTGTGCAATGTCAGCAAATCTACACGCGCTGCAGGGAGAGTGGCCGTGTTAACTCTTCCCCCCTCAAAAATCTACGTCCCGTAGATGTTAACAAATGTTGGGAGGATCTGTTCCCAGTGTCCTAGGTCCGACATCTGGTAAGGTCACTCTACCATTGACCTTTTTCCAAAGGTAACCAATTGCCATTATGAGAAGCACCAAAATGAAAAAACTGAGAATTCCGCCGGCTTGAACCCCTTGTGTGAGTTGTTTGAGTCGCTTGATGTTTGTAATGCTTAGTTCATGAAGGTAATCGATGTCGACCCTGTTGCCCTGACTTATCACCTTAGATAGGACCGGTGGAAGCACCTGAAGTCGGCTCGCTAGAACGTTAGAGAATATTTTGTCATCAAGTTCGATTGTCTTGTTATAAAACAGGATCACGTAGGTTCCGTTCAACTGTCTCGTTGTGCCATCGGATCGCAATTCTCCCACGTAGTTTGTGACGAATATCGTGCCTTCCTTCACAAGCTCCAAAATGGTCTGGTTACCCGTACGGTATCGGCATTTCAATAATTTTGGAACACAATCGTCGTCCTCTAGTCCCTCCAAGTCGGACATTTCACAAACGGTAAAGTTGTTGGTGGAGGAACAGCTTCCCGTTATTCCACAAGCCTCATCCTGATTAACCAGCATCTTTTTATATTCGATGTCAATCCTCTTGCCATCGAGGATCGAAGCTCTTGTGTGCAGTAGGTTATAGTCCCTCCTTCCTAACTTCGGCATAGACACAATATAAAGAAGCATAGACCCGTTCACATAAATCGAGGGAGTACCGTGTTCGATAGCTTCTATCTCATTCTCGTAGGGGAGTGTCTCCATCTCAGCAAGGATCCTATTGATTTCCTCCCTGTCAACTATATTCGTATTAATTATCCTGCTCTTGGCCAGTTGACAGGCTCTAACGATTTCGCCGACTTCCTCACTAATTATGGAGATTTGGTCCAGTAGACCCAATTCTAGTCGATCCGTGTTGGCAGGGTCGATGTGGTTTTTAAATTCGTCGATAATACGATTGACCTTCAGCAGTACCGCCTCCATTTTAGAAAAAAGTTTTCCGTTAATCTTGTATTGGTGGTTGTTGTTCTCGATGATCTCGTTCTCGCTACTGAGAATTCTATTCCAATCGGCTGCGTCTGGTGATCCAGCCACCCATTTCCAAGCTGATCCAATCCAGTGAATGGAGCGCAGTACCCTGGTAGATTTTCCGCCAAGACTACTTAGGCGATTACTGACCTGATGTAGGCGAAAATCAACTGTCTGGGCTCTCTGTGGGTCTCGCATTGTTGATTTGACTGTAGCTGCTATTTCCTTGACGAGCTCCCTGTATCGGTCTAGGTCTATCATGTGGACAAGCTTGAAGTGACCGTTGGTAATGCGACCCGTTCCATCCTTCACAGATATAAGGGGCGCATCATATTGATAAATCTGGGCGCCACACGTTGTCGCTACTAAGGCTAAACTAAAATAATGATTACAATGTATATACTTCTCATTCTCATCCAGATGTTAAATTTGTTCTTCCTCTCAACATTTTAATAGCCCTCTTACCATGGATTCTTTAACATTCCATCATTTCTAAACATTCTTAACATGACATTTGTGAAATTTTTTACCCGTTTCAGTAGTCAAGGTTACTCTTCCTTCATGGGATACAACCTCCTTCTTATACCGCTTCCTATGTTTCCCCTTGATCTGTCTATCGGCAATGAAGACAACTTTCCCTTCCTCATAGCCCTTTGGGTCAGTCCTATTCCTGTTCAGTCTGGCGTTTGTCATCTCCTGACCCTTCATTATCCGATTCCTGACGTCATCGAAAACCTTGTCCCTGAAATTTGTCAAATTCTGGTAGTTGATCCTTGAAGTCCGGTTCAAAAAAATGTCGACTGGTTTCAACCTAGTCATTGAGTGAACAGAATTGTTGTAGCGGTCCACTGTTATATAGAGCAGTTCCTTCACCCGTAACTGAGGGTATTCCCTCCTGAGGCATCGATACATTTCCAACAGGGTGGAGTGCAGTCTCTCCACCTGTCCATTCACCTCACTTCTCTGTGTCGGTGTCCTATATAGTTCAATACCCACGGATGCAATGAAGTCTGCCACGGTTGGGCTAATGAAACCCCTCTCATTATCTGTAACCAACATTCTCGGGGTAGAAAAAAAGTGAACAACTTTTGCCATTTTCTCACGGAGGTGTATCGCGGATCTGTTCCTAATATGGAACAGCTTTGCAAATTTTGAGAATTTATCCAAGCAACTTATGAATTTTTCCTTCTCCAGCTCGAAAATATCGACATGTAGGATTTCACAGGGATAAGAAGGAATAGGCGTTGGTTGGAACTTCGGCCTACAGGGATGCCTATCGTATTTCTGCAACTTACATGTATCGCAACTTGCAGAGTGCATCCTAACAAGTGCCGCCATCCTAGGGAAATAGAAGCGTTCCAAAATCTGTTGCGTATTCTCTCGGGGGTTCCGATGAGCCCTTCGATGTTCATTCGCGATAATTGACAGCTTCCTTTCATCGTTTGCCACGTCCTCGACAATCCTTTGTGTGATTCGGACTTTATACATGGAAAAATTTGCCACATACAGTTCCTGTAATAGTTGAATGTAGGACTCAGGTATCTTAATACCATTAATAACTGTCGGGTTAAGATATTTCTTCAAAAAAATCCGTCAAGCGTTCCTTATCCAAATCATTCGTTGTAATGTAATGACGATTGTAACCCGGATGTGGTGTTTCAGAACTATGTAAGTCGCTACCGATCCTAAATACAATCTGATTCCTAAAGACATTCAGCGGAACCTCAACATGTGGAATAAGGTCGGAGGCATCTAACTCAGCGCTATGCACTGTAGCGGCGGTAGAGCCTCCTTCGCTTGCAGTTATCGTCTCTGAATTCCCCTCGCTAGCCGTATCTGTTTCCTCGGATAGTTCTCAGAGCTACTTTTTCGCTTTAATCGTGCATTCCCCTGTTGCTGCTTACTCGCGTAAGAGGTTCTGCGGGTTTGCGTAGTTGGATCAACCTCCATTTTCTCAACCGTACCGTGTAGTTGAGGTCTGTTCAATCCATGCTGACTAAAACCATAGTGGCTCCGTTCCCTTGGAACCATCCTGTTCCTAGCATGGCTCACATTAGAACTATCAAATCTCCTTTGAATTGGAACTGACGTATTCCCTCCGAGCCAATTGATCCGCTGTGTATTGCCTACGAACCAGATTATTGACTGGAACAACCACTGTATTCCCTGCGTCCGTCCTATGTATAGGTCGTCGTCGGAAATTCAGATTCTGTATGTCCAAGCAAGCAGTGTAAGCCTCCGGAAGGGTCTTGGGCTTTTGCACTATCAACATTCGTGATAGCTCCCTATCCAAACCTCTTATAAATACGTCCAGAGCCCGGTTACGATATGTTTCTATGAGCGCATTAACTGTCTCCTGAGAATACTCCTCTGTCTTTATCTTATTAATAATCAAAGAGAATTGATGATTGACGCTCGCATAAAAGGGATCCACATTCGATCCATTCTAAGCCAGCTGGCCCAACTGATGTTCAAGAGTTCTTACATCCCTCTTATCCGCATAATGAAGAGACAAACACCTTTTGATCGACGGCCAATCATCGTCGAATATATTATAAGAGATCAATGCTGTATCGGCCCTACCACGTACCTTACCACGAATGCTCTTCAATATAGCTCTATAAATCGGCTTATTCCTAACAATAGCATAATCCCTGAGTATCCCTTCTACCGCGTGAACCCACGAGACATATTGGGAGGGTTCTCCCTCGAAGGTTTGCAACTCCTTAACCGAATCAGGTAGACGACCAATGTCGCGCAAGTCGTCCTCCGTTGAAGGACCTCGTAACGGCTCCTCAACTTGGTCACTTGTTGTCAAACCAAGGGGTCGCTCGAGCTCCTTGATACGCGACTCGTTTGCCTTTATCTGCTGCATTAAAAGGTTGACCATTCCGGTCAGTTCGGTAATTTTCTGGGATAAGGAATCCATGTTTACAAATTCTTTAAAATATTAAGTGTATTTTTTCAGATTTTCAATTCCAATGGTAATTATTATTCAGTTATATTTTTATTTTCTTAATAATGGTCAATGTTCAGTTCTTTGGATGTATTTCCCTTTTTTCCTACTCTATTCTTAATATTTAAGTAATTTCTATTTCCTATTTGTTCTTAAGTTTTTCCACAATATTAAATGTTCAGAATTACAATAACGTCTAATTTCAGATTTTTTCGGATTGCGAAGAATAGTTTTAATTACTGAGCATCAAATTTAGTAATATTTAATTTATATTCGTTTTTTCTTATTTTCAATAGTATTTCAATATCATTTAAAATTTACTTGATTATTTAAATTCGTCAAAAGTATTTATTCTAATGATTTCTAATGTTAAGTTTCCTTTTTTTTTTTTTTTAAATCTCTCAATTATAATCAATCAATTACATCTACATAAAAATAGAGGGAAAAGAATTTACTTACATTAGCAAACAGTTCCTCATCTGGTACGAGATAAATATACTTCTTATTACTAAATAGTTTTCTAAAATTCTTCAGAGTGTGAGTTTGAAGTCTGCAGGGAAGTTGGTTTTTAAATAGTTTTCCAAAATTCTTCAGAAAGTAGGTCTTAAGTTTGCAGAGAATGTGGTTTCTAAATAGTTATCCAAAATTCTTCAGAAGGTGGGTTTTCTGAAAATATAAAAATTTTATTAGTACATTTTCAAATTGTTGTATCGTTTAAAATTATTTAATTTTTCTTTCTTTCTTTTTTCAATATTTTTTAATTTCTCGGAGATCGATCGTAGAAGGACACTTGTAATCCTTTTTAGTCGTCCGTGTTAATAGTTACGGTCAACCTACTAAGGCAGGGTTGACTTCACACTACCCCTGGATATTCCTATTGTGAATTATATGTGTATATTGCTTGAAAAGGATGCTGTGTTCTTATGGGTACAACACCATATCACCACTAGGAAGTATCAGGCACCACAAAACACCATAGGCAATCCGAGAGGATTCACGATCGACCTCTGTGTTCCACAAGGACATGTACGTCAACCGTAGGCACGGTGTTCATAGTCCTATTTTTATTCATTCCATTACTTTCATTGATCTTATTCATTCTTTATTATTTATTTGTTCATTCTTCAAATTATTTTCATTCTTGATCTGGAGTGCCTGGCTTTTGGGGCTACAGGATCGCAGATCGCTTTTATCTTTCTTTAATTATTTATCGAACCTCGACGCTTCACAGCAGTGTATTATTTCAGGTATGGCAAGGAGTCGAACCTTGACTTCACAATATTGTGATAGTCCACCAGTTTTGCCATTATCCTTTTCTCTTATCTTGTGCTATTTCAGGTATGGCAAGGAGTCGAACCTTGACTTCACAATATTGTGACAGTCCACCAGTTTTGCCATTATCCTTTTTTTTTCATAATCTTCATTCTTATTTTCCATCTTCTTTATTCAGAGTTATCACTATAGTATTCACTTTAAAGTCACTATAGACTCAATATTTCTTGTTAATTTTCAGTCACTAAATATTCTTCATGCAATTTGTTCACTTCTGTCTCCACGCGGACTGTGTAGCATTCAATTTATTTCAATTTTCATTGTTATTTAATAACTGTTTCTTTTGTCTATTTCTCCTTTTTTCCTTTCATATTTCTCTCTGTGGAACACAGACCCACAATAACTGTGGGTCCCTGCTCGGGCGCCACTTAACGAGGTCGGAAGGACCTCGCTCAAAAAAATGTTCCTGCCGCACCAACAGCGGCAGGATTTAAATGATTACACTCGTTTGATTTAATATCCAAATACAATCGATTTATTGACTGTTCCTTTTCAATGTGAATTGAAGACTAACTAAATTACATTGAGTTTTGCCTTGTTAAGGCGAAGATCATATGTTTTATGATTTAAGTGTTTGTTTTCTCTTTCGAGACGAGCTTAATGATCTGAAATTTGCAGTGAAAAGGAAAAAAATAATAATAATAATAATAATAATAATAATAATAATAATAATAATAATAATAATAATAATAATAATAATAATAATAATAATAATAATAATAATAATAATAATAATGATAAACTTAACGAGGTCGGAAGGACCTCGCCCAAAAAAATGTTCCTGCCGCACCAACAGCGGCAGGATTTAAATGATTACACTCGTTTGATTTAATATCCAAATACAATCGATTTATTGACTGTTCCTTTTCAATGTGAATTGAAGACTAATTAAATTACATTCTACTTATTCTAAGGTAAGCGACAGCGCGCCAGCAGTCCCCCGTAGTTCCCACGATGGCCTCTGCTTAGTCGGCAGGTATGCAATGGTAATTGGGGTGGTGTCAATGACAATGAGGCGCGTGTGCATGGTCAGCCAAAAGTACACGCGCAACCAAAAGTACACGCGCAGCCAAAGAATAGTTGGGCGATTGCACAAATGCAGCGCGTGTGCAATGTCAGCAAATCTACACGCGCCGCAGGGAGAGTGGCCGTGTTTTGCTTTGTAATATAAAACAGCTTTACCATCAAAAATATAATTATTAAGTTACAGAATTTGTATTGCGATACAACGGTATTTTGATGGGTTTAGTCACATTATTTCACGGACTTGTCTAAAAAAAGGTATTTGTTGTTCGTGTTGTCCGAAGCTAGAACCCAAGCTTCGGTGGCGGAACATTGTACATACAGGTCGACGTTTTCCTCACGATATTCGGTATTTTAATGATTTTTGCCACATTTTCCACGGATTCGTCTAAAAATTGGTATTTGTAGTTCTTAATAGGTTCTCGTTCTTGTGGCAAACATTGAATATCTAGGTCCATGTTTTCCTACAGCGAACATATTACGGTCCCCACAGATATTTGGTATTTTGACAATCCTAGTCACATTTACCCACGAAATTGTTTCAAATTTGGTATTTAAGACTCGCAATAGATAACAATGTTTGCAGTATAAAATTGTCTATCAAGGTTCACGTTTTGGTATGACCTTCACATAACGGATCCACCTACATTATTCTTTTTTGAAAAGTTTAACTACATTATCCAAACGATCATACTGCTGTATGTAGTTTAAAGTGAAAAACGTTAAATCTATATAATTTTATGTAAAAAATATCGGAAACTAACAGAAATTTATATTTAACCCTTCTTACTGCAGTTCCTGATTTGTGCTCACAAATAAACTGTAAACATAATCTATATATATAAAAATCAATTGTTGTTTGTTGGTAATGGAATCAGTAAAAAACGGCTGGACCGACTTGAATAATTTTTTGTACAAACGTTCGTCATACCCCGAGTTAGGTTTTTAAAGAAAAAAATATTGACCACGGCTCCTTTTACGCCCACTATTTCGATTTGTTTAAAATCCTTATATTTCGCAAATAATGAAGATATTGGTTTAAAAATTATTACACGAGATACTGTTGACTTTCCCTCCAATCCTAAGTATTTGTTTGGGGGCTGAGGAACTGACCACGTCTTCTTTTTAATCTATCTATATATATACAAAAGAAAGTTGGGTTAGTTACTACGCTTATAACTCAAGAACCGCCGGTCTGATTTTAACGACCCAGACGAATTCGGTGTTGTCTCTTGGCAGAAAAGGATAAAATCCAAACAAATCGCGGAAAAATGTGAAATTTAAACCTTTTCATTTTGACTTTCAAAATGTACAATAGTAATGTTTTATATTGCATGATTTTTTTCATTTTGATTTACTATTTTCAAATGTACATTTGTAGTGTTTTTTTTTCTTTTCGATTTTTTTTTTTTTGAAAATTAATATGATGTGTACGGTAGTATAAAGCGACAACGGACAACAATGCTATTTATAAATTTAAGTATTCAGAAGGGTATACAAAATAAAGAATTATTTCCGCCATATAAAAGAAAGTAGTGTTAATTTCTACGCTTAAAACGCAAGAACTGCTTGACGGACTTTAACATTTCATATAATTTCGGAATGGTATCTCGCCAAAAAAAAAGAAATAATAATACAAATAATAATAATAATAATAATAATAATAATAACAATAATAATAATAATAATAATAATAATAATAATAATAATAATAATAATAATAATAATAA